CTGGGGCACCACATCCTTTTGGTACCATATTTCCAGGGCACCACATCCCTGGGGTACCACATCCCTGGGGCACAACATCCGTGGGGTACAACATCGTTTTGGAACCACATCTCCAGAGCACCACATCCCTGGGGTACCACATCCCTGGGGCACCATATCCCTGGGGCACCACATCCCTGGGCTCCACATCCTTGGGCACCACATCCCTGGGCACCACATCCCTGGAGTACCACACCCCTGGGTATCACACCCCACTCCCTCATCTCCCCCAGGTCTGCGATGCAGCACTGCCGGTTGCTTTTCACCAGGATGTTTCTGCTCTTCAGGTCACGGTGGGCAATGGCAGGTTTGCCCTGAGTGCCAAAGATCTCCACGTGAAGGTGGACGAGGCCACAGATGATGGAGGAGGCCAGGCCCAGGCAGGTCTCCACATCCAGGGCTGTTCTCTGCAGGTAGTCATACAGTGAGCCGTTCTCGTGGTAGTGGGTGATGAGCCACAGCTGAGTGCTGGAGTTCCTCGACGTCATGTCCGAGGCGATAAAACCTGGACAGGGAAAAGAGCTGAGCCCAGGGAGCCACAGTGCAGCCATCCCAGCCCTCCTGGCTCTCTCTGGCCCCTCACTCACCCAGGATGTTGTCGTGCCGTAGGAGACATCCCTGGGGCACCATATCCCTGGGGCACCACATCCCTGGGCTCCACATCCTTGGGCACCACATCCCTGGGCACCACATCCCTGGAGTACCACACCCCTGGGTATCACACCCCACTCCCTCATCTCACCCAGGTCTGCGATGCAGCACTGCCGGTTGCTTTTCACCAGGATGTTTCTGCTCTTCAGGTCACGGTGGGCAATGGCAGGTTTGCCCTGAGTGCCAAAGATCTCCACGTGAAGGTGGACGAGGCCACAGATGATGGAGGAGGCCAGGCCCAGGCAGGTCTCCACATCCAGGGCTGTTCTCTGCAGGTAGTCATACAGTGAGCCGTTCTCGTGGTAGTGGGTGATGAGCCACAGCTGAGTGCTGGAGTTCCTCGACGTCATGTCCGAGGCGATAAAACCTGGACAGGGAAAAGAGCTGAGCCCAGGGAGCCACAGTGCAGCCATCCCAGCCCTCCTGGCTCTCTCTGGCCCCTCACTCACCCAGGATGTTGTCGTGCCGGAGGAGGACTGTGTTGTAGATCTCTGTCTCGCGGAACCACGACTGCTCATCGCGGGAGGAGAAGATCTTCACAGCCACACTCTCCCCGTGCCACACGCCTCGCCACACCTCACCATAGCGCCCTTTACCTGCCATGGCCACAGTGCTGTGTCACACAGCCCCTCTGGCCCCCAGCACCCTCCTCACACCCAGCATGACACACCTGGATCCCATGTGGAAGAGTGATGAAACGGCACTGGGTCCATTGACCTTGGCCAACATCCACTCACCCACCCACCCACTCTCTGCCCCACCATCAGTAGGACGTGGTGAGAACTTGGGGTTCCTATGGGCCTTGGGATGACACAGCTATGTCCAACCCCCTCCTGGGTCTGAAGTTGTGGTCCCATTGCCCAAGCACCATCTGGAGGGGCCAGAGCAGCTTCCCCTGAATGTGGCCCCTCTCCTTACCCACACACTCCACGAGGGTGATCTGCCGAGCCACTGTGCGCTGGACGAGGAAGGGCAGCCCCGAGCCACTGCCAGTGGTGCAGTCATCATTCAGCAAGTCCTGCACGGGGTGACCATGGGGTCAGCACGGTGGCCACCACACCCTCCCACACCTTGGGGGCATTTGGGGTCCCTCCTGGAGCTCACCCACCTCTAAGGTGCTGTCTCCCACCATGGATGCCTTCAGCATGAGGTCTGTGTCGCTGAAATCGCTTTGCTTGTGGCGCTGCTGGGCCACCTTCCAGCAGAAGAGCCCTGTGAGTGCCACGAGGACGAGGAGGGCAAGCAGCGGGACGAAGATCATCAGGAGGAGGTTGGGCAGGGAAGGTGTCTTTCCCAGAGTATCTTCCCCTGGGTGGGTGAAACAACGGATTGGAGCATGAAGGTGGACCTGGGAGGGCGGAGGTCTTGGGACTTGGGCTGGGATTTAGGGAAGGTGGAGGTCCCAGGTCTTGGGCTTGGACCTGGGAAAGGTGGAGGTCTCTGCATGGCTCAATCCCATGGACAGCAGCTCTGCAGGCACAGCCCAAGAAGGGACACCTGAGAACATCATGCTGTCCCTGTCCAGCTGGGAAAGGTGACCCTTGAGGTGCTGAGTGAGGATGGGGATGATTTGGAGACTCAACCACTTCTCCAGTCCTGTGGAGAGCTCTGCCCCTCTCCCCCGTGCCCCTGTACCTTGCAGGAAGATCTCCAGCTTGGCGTTGCACATGTTGGAGTAGCAGCACTTCATGCCGTACTGCTCCATCACGGGGGTCTGACACTGCTCCAGGAGGTTCTGGGAGAAGCAGCCTCGGTGCTGGGTGATGGTGCCCTCCTCCCTTTTCTTGCTGACAAAGCACACCTCGCCCGTGCAGGTGGGCTGGCTGCAGTGGGGCACATCACAGGCACACAGCAGCTCCTCTGTGGGCACAAGGAGAGGACACACTGTGCCATGGGGCCACTGGTGGCTTTGGGGCACACTGGTGGCTTTGGGGACAGAGACATTGTCCTAAAGACTCCAGAACCAAATTTGGAGGGCAGGCAGCCTGGAACCATCACAGTCCAGCAGAGGAAAGCAACTGTGTGTGCCCAGGACAGGGAGCCCATCCTAACAACTCCTGGAAAATCACTTGCTTCTGTCTGGGAGCCAAGTGCCAGCCCCAAACCTGGGGGTCACCTGTCCCCACACCCCTGCGATGCACTGGGTGGGCTGTGCATCCAGCCCCAGCGGCTGGGATTAACTGGGATTCACTGGTTCACAACACACGGGATCACACCCCACCCACGGGGCCCCAGGGGACACGGGATCGGTGGCACCCTGCTCCTGGCAGCCAGGATGGAACCAACGCGTGCCGGTTCCCCGCCAGCGGGTGCTGGGGGGACGCTGTGTTTCGGGAGGTGGCTGCCAAACCCAGGTCTTTCCTGGAGCTTTTCCTGACTTCCCTGAAAACGTTTCCCTGCGCAGCGGTGCCGGAGCGGCTCAGAGGGCGGCCACGCTCCCGAACTCCCGATTTAGCTCTGCCCTTTCGCGCAGAAAATATCCCTCCTGGAATCAGCGAGTTCAGTGCGAGGGCAGCCAGAGGGCCGGAGAGAGGGGACAGCGGGGGGACAGCCAGCAGTGGCCAGTCGCCCTCCTGTGCCCCAAAGACTGCCCAGAGCCAGTGCTGTGTGTGGGGTGGTGGCAGGGGCAGGTCGGGGTTGGTGTCTCGCAGACAGGACAGGGATTTGATGGGCACTCATCCCCACAGCGAGCTCTGCCGCTCCTCCCTGGCACAGCCACACTGCCCTGGGCCTCCCTGCAGAAGCACTGAGCTTCAATCTGTCCCCACGTCTCCTGGTGCTCCCCTGGGATGCCAAGCAGCTCCTCCTGCTCCCCAACATCATCATCATCATCATCATCACCTCTGGGAAAAACCACACTTAGAAGCACATGGTGCCTGCCTTTCCCCTTCTACCCTGAGGTGATGGCAAAGCACTCGATCGACCGCAATTAATTAAGCTGAGATCCTCTCTGGGGGTTGGGTCACCCACCCAAAGGGGACAATGCAGTCCCTAAGGAGCCCAGCTCCCTCCACGGGAGTTATTTTGGGCAGAGATGCTCCTAAAGATCTGTGGGTTTATTTTAACCTGCTGGTCACCCCGCGGTGTTGGTACTCACCAGCCGCGACGCAGAGGGACAGAGCCATCAGTGCCAGCACCACGCAGCCACCGGCTCCCCACGGCATCGTCCTGCGGAGAGCGGAGGGGTGAGAGCAGCCCCCGCAGCCTCAGCCCTCCGAGGGGCTCATCACCAGCTCTGGGGGCTTTGGGGCAGGAAAGGGGGGACTTGGAGAGGGAGAGGGTGGGTGGAGTGAGGTAGGATGTGTTGCTTCCAATGGAGTTTGGCTCCGGACGTCCTGGGTACAGCCCTTCCTGAGAGCAGATCCCAGGACCTGCCGAGCTCAGGGCACCTCCTGACCATGGCATGGGACAGCACACACAGCACCATAGCACTTGGGGACAAACTGGGACTGGGACCTTGCCATGTCCACGCTGCCCCAACATCCTTCCTTTATTCCAGCATTTCCCACCATTCCCATGGCTCCTGCTCTGTTCAACCACAGCCTCCATGGGCTTGGCAGTCACGGGGATGCCACAGCACAGCTGGAGATCCCAAGTTCAGCGAGACCCAAGCCATGGGGTGGAGCTCAAAGCCCTCACACCTCTCCAACCATCAGATGCCACTGGCTACTGTCTGGGGCTCAATCCCAGGGGGATGTTTGGACAGAGCTTATCAATGACACAAACAGAGGCTCTGGGGCAGCCAAAATCCCCACTGTGCCTTTGGGAGAAGTTTTGCTATATTTCTTTTCTTTTTTTTTCTGTTTTTTTTTTTTCTTGTAAAAGAAGCATTTGTGCCAAGGCAAACACGGCAGAGCCCCCCACAGCCCCCCA